AACAATACATATCCTGTCCTTTCACCAGTGTTAAATTGATAATATTCAAATCGAGAATGACCTTTCGCTTATCCAGAACGAACTCTCCTTCATTACTGCAGTAATTTTTATACATTAGGAATATCGAAATAAAACGATCGGAGTATCTGTGGAAATTTGTCATTTGAAATGGTTCATACTACCGTTGATAAAAAACCTTCAAAGCTTTGTGGAATGAACGAAGATGTTTCGTAATAGAAATTGGTGAAAGTAAATGTGCACTTGATACAATTTCCATTCGGGTTAAATTAATATTTGAATTTGTTAATTTTTAGAGGAAAATGCAGAATTGATTAGAATTGCATTCTTAATATGCAAGTATTTAGACAACCGTGGATCAATACTGACGGAACTTTCACTCGAGCTTCTACCAATCTGATCTCTGCGTAGTATCAGAAATTCTGCGTGTTACGAACTCTCGCGAATATTTCCATAGAAAATGCACGTTGCATTTTAAACGCAGCGAATGTTTCTCTAAATGGGAACATTCGTGGCGGTAGTCCGGTTTCGCGTATAAAATGGCAATTATAACGTAGCGACGTGAGCCGTGCTCCGTATGTATACACGGTATGTGCAGCGAAATAATAGAGAACTGCAATTCTAGAAACGAGAAGAACGAAAAAAAGAGCATTTCGCGGGCCAAGTAGATGAAACGTATCTCGTGAAACGGTACATATTAACGTTGATTAAAAATAGATGAAGAGTGTTTTGCAAAAAATATAACGTATTTCTTGTAGGGAAAAAGATTTATTAAAATATCGTCCACGTGCTCGCGGACGTATACTGCGTAACTGCAGATGTGGAATTGTAAAAGTTACGAGTGGGATTGAAAAAAATTCACTTTTACCTCTCACAAGTGATATAAACGCTTAACATCATCGGACACGAAATTGCAATTAAACTTCTCCAGTACCTAGGTACTTGCGTGTGGACGCGCCGTTTGAAGATAAAAATTCGATACACAAAAGTCTACTTTGACCGTTTACGTAGTATCAGAAGTATGAATAATTTTAAAGAAGAGAAACTGTGGCAGCAAAGTGGAAATTCCTTTAAATCATACTTACAAAAATTGCAAGTTTAAATTTGTGTTACACATTTCTTATATTCGTAAGTCCAACTTCATGATAAATTTATAGAATAAACAATACCTAAAATCTTTCCCAAGTAAACGTTCAAAGTTTAGTTACGTATAAAATGAATTTTTAGCTATCTGAAGCTGTTTATTTTACTAGAATTAAAAGTCAACCTTACCTTTCCGCGTACGCGTAGTGAATAAGTATTTACTTACTCGATTCTTGATTTCATTGGGACACGTGGTGTTCGTAATCGTTGGTGATCGAGCTTTTGCCGGCATGGTACGCGCGCATTATTGCAATGCGCGGCTACAGTAGCTCGTGCCGTTAAGTATAGCAATGCTTTGAGTAAACGCGAGGGCGGCCGGACGAGCGAGCGACGGGTGCGGGTGCGCCGCGGCAAAAGCCAATAAATTAATTGGATTGACCGCGGGTGGCTTTGCACGGACAAATGGGATCAACGATTCTGCCGATCAGCAGGAGCGCGTGCCGCGATCCGCCTCGATACTTCGGAGTTAACTCGCTCACACTGTTCATTTCTCTCGTTTGGGGCTTTAAAGGTGGTCCGTTAACTGGATGCAAGTATCCTCGCGCGTTTACACGTGTTCGATATCGTTTAAAACCCGATTTTCTTCTGTGTGTGCGTGTAAACTTTACGCTAGCTGGCAGTCTCGATACGCTCGCAGACACGATACGCTCGCAGACACGCAACAAATAAGATATACGGTTCTGTTGCCTTTTGATGGCTTCGCGACGAATGTTATCCGGTGATAAAACCATAAAATCGTCTATATATAATTATCGTTTATTCTGGATCTAATCCAATACGTGTCTTCCATTCAAAGATTGTAGATTGTAGATGTACGTGTAAATACGTAGAAAGTATTTGATGGGTTTATCGTTATGATATGCAGTCGCGTTACGTTAACGTGTTAAATGCGACCACTATCGATCCGCGCAAAGTTACTGGGCTAGTTTAATAATCGCTTCCTGTTGAGGATTTTATTGAACTACCTCGCGTATCTTTAGCCCACGGAACGATGAAAGTGTATTACATATGATTTGAGGTAGTTGAGAATTTCCTGAGGGGTTGTACCGACTTCGAAAAATGAATTGCGATGAACTGGTTTCAAGTTTTGAGGACATACGTACATTTTTTATAAAGCACTCTTACGATTAATGAACAATCTGTTCCTATTTATTTTCTGGATTTGGAGTCTTTAGTAAAATGTATTGAAAAGAGTATATTTTACTTGCTGCTCATTGGAGAATTATCGGATATGACAATTCGGAAGCCGATTCGTGATATTGCAATACCATTGTTATCTCGATTATCTACTTCTCGTATTGTTACAGATCTCGTGATAAAATGTGGAATTAAAATACGAACGTCAGTAAGTTTTTTTTAATTAAATACAAATATAAACAAATGGCTAAACATGGCGCACAGAAAAACGCCATTGGTCTGAATCCAGTTTTACACTGTTCAAACTTTGACGCTTGAACGTTTTTAATAAAAACCCGCGAGATCTCGCATGGAATAACGCGTACAGCAGGCAATAGGTATTATATTCACGTCGGGCTCGAGCGAAAGAACGAAGCAGAAAGGTGCTCAGGAAGAGGGGGAAATACATATACATATGTAGCGGCTTCAGAGCGGCGGAGTGTGTTGGAGATGGCGGTGGAGGTGGAGAACTATTTTAGCTTTTACGAGGCCGCCGTGGCGTATCCGTTTTGCGGGGTACGACGTGCAAAACGATCGATAACATGCTCGTAACGTTATTACCGACAGGTATACGGAGGTGGGTAGTGGCGGGTACTACCGGTAATAATGTGGCTTTTACGGTCGTGGGCGCTGGTACAGCTGCCGCCAAAGTCGGTAAGCGTGGGTTTCCATCGCATTCAAATGCCGTAGCAGCAACCGAATTTGTGCCGCTATTTCCTTCAGCGTGTTCCTCTGACACACATTTCTTCCTCCTCTCGTCCGTCGTTTCAACGAGGACAAAAGCACGAATCCGGAATACAGATCTTCATTGATCTATCAGCGAACGAGATAACCGAGACGACTTTGGTCGTTGCTAAAAATCCGGTTGATATTTACGTCTGAAATGTCTTTTTCTCACGACACGGTTCCGTTTAAATCGTGAAGAGGATTCGCTGAAAGCTCTCTTGAAGCTGTTCGCAAATGGATCGATCATGCAATGTACAATAAATGCCATGAAATCTAGTGATACAAACGTTAGGTGTTTGAAAAATATTCGATTTTATAGTGTAGCGCAGTTCGTGAGCAGTCTAAAACTTGTTTGAGAAATTCAAAATAAATTAATAGATAACTAACCAGTTCTTCATAAATGTCTTACTTATCTTAGTTTTTCTTTTTATTAAAAAATGACTAATTAATAACGGAGTTCAACGCGGCTTCCGCAAGAGTAATTAACAACAATTACCGGGAGATTATACGGCTCCCAGAGTCGGGTCGATTATCCTCGAAAGGATAGTAATAGTAAGTGTGTAGTCTTTACACTTTCGACGAGGTAATACCTGCTGAAGCAGTATCCGCTTTTACGAGAGAGAAACTTGGTTTCTCGGTGCGAATATTCGCCGGGGATAGGAAACAATGTTTCTCGCGGTCTCGACGAAAGCAGATTTCCATCTAAAGCATTTCCTGAATCACTTTTTTCCTGCTAGAAACTTTTACGAGCTGAAATCGTCGATGGCACGAAGCGGCAGAGAAACAGAGTACACGCTCGTCTCGGGGTATGCGCAGGTTTAAACCGACGGCGTAATCAGCGAACGGAAGCCGAAGCAGCGGGCACGATTTCCGCCGCTTATGCCGCGCCGGTTGCGTTCGTGCCGCTGCGCACGCCTCGAGGCGGTTGCTTATACGTGGGCCGTGACAAGTGCATCCGGCACATCGAAGGATTACTGTTCGTTCCGTACGCAATCACTCTGTCTGATTGCGCCTGAAAGTCATTCGGCTAATATCTATGTACATAATTCTCCGTAATTCATGAGTTTGCCGAAAACTAGATTTAACGAACATCTCCTTTGCGGAAAACGCAGTTTATTCGAGAACGAGGAATGGCTGTGTCTTAGCAAGCTTATGTGAGACCAGTAATTTTACAGATGAATTATTTATTTCTATTATTAATATAAATGTAGCCGTAATTCATGAGTCGATCCAAATGAAATTTATAACTTCGGTTATTCATACTATACCAGAATCTCACGATGTGGGCCATAGAAATTCGAAACACGAGAAAATACTTCCCCAACTCTCTCGGTTTACATAGGATGCAAATCAAATCAGGCACAGAGAAATTTAAAGGTAACCTTCTAGCCGTCGCGGTGCTTTGTTGGCTTCCGTCTTAACCGCCGACGCTGCGCTGGCATGCATGCCTAAGTAGGTGTATTATAAGTTGAAAGTTCCTAGCTATATTTTGACGGTGAATAAAAAGAGCCTGACACCTTACAATGGTTCTAAAATCTAAATCTAAAAATTGAATATCGCTTTATTAGATATCTATTCGTTCTATAATAAAAATATAATTAACTATATGGTACAGATAAAGAAACGTTTAATCATACAGATCGTGGAACGACTCAGAGAGCATTGTTCCACTATATTTAATATCATCCAGATACAGTTAAAAGATAATTATACTCTTTATGAATCTTAACAATGCAGGGAGTGGTCTTGAATATGCGTATTCTCATTTTTTACGTAGATAAGTCGCGAGACAAAGAGGTTTAGCGTGTGAGAATTCGTTTTTTCTTTTCATTCTTGAGAACGTTTCGTGCCGCAACGGGAACGGCATACGGTATACGATACGTTTCGCAGAGGATTGCCGAATGAAATTGACCTTTTGATTTTATTCGCTGTTTCAGGGTCCACCGCAACCCGGGCAGCAATATAAATTATCGATCGGGGAGTTGTGCGATCGTATCAAGGAGGACTTCACCTTTCTTCAGTCGCAGTATCACAGGTATGTAAACGCCTCTATTTTCGATACTCGTAAATCAGTCCCACTCCTACGTCCCGTTGAACGAATTCCTGTTACCGGGAAATAAGCGTATCTTTTTTTTGGCAATCGTCATTCGTTCAAAAAATTTCATTTGACGAATATCTGTACTGACTTATTTATTTATTTCAATCGCACATCGGTAGTATCATCTAATGTTAAATTTTGATTATGTAGTTACATAGTAATCTGTTGTGGAAAATATGAATTGCGTTTGTGGTAATTAAAATAATACATAATAGTCAATGAGAGATTTAATAAATAGGTAGCATTGCAAGAATAATTCTTCCCTTATGTGTTTAAGAAATATGTGGAAGTAAATCAATCTTATTCTTAATAACTTTGCTAATAAATTACGCGTATAGTTGTGAATATAATTAAGGTATACAGTTTTAAAGAAGATGACCAAATGGAGTGGAATTTTAATGGTTATAAAAAGATTTTCTCCACTTAGAAATGATTGAACGTCTAGGCGACCCATTACGTTCGCCGTGGTCGTTAGAAATAAATAACGTCGTAAGAAATGTAACAAGTATAGTGGATAATCGGGCGATACGATCGAGGGCACACGCGAGCAGGTAAAAGTTGTCCGATAAGGGAACTTTCTTCGGGCGAAACCGTCCGTTTTCACCCGGTATAACCCGGTAGCGATCCTTATCGTTTCGCTTGACACGTTAATTTATATGCCGACCCTTTAACGTGTTAATTCGCGACGTCACGTGCCGCATGATTTCCACCGACGACAGAAACTTAAATTGCTGTTTCGTGTCTCAGCAACACGAGGACGGAAAGAAAAGAGCCAGACTGAGAGTGAGAAAGAGAGTATTTGAGTGAGGGAGTGAAAGAGAGGTAGGAGACTCCTCGGGTCCCGGTATTTTCATGCATAAATAGGCATGTGTGTACAAAACGTACGTGAGCGGCGTACGACATTGTGCTGCATTCGATGTCTATGCACAGGACAGTTACGAAAGAAAGACTAACGCACTCGGTACTATTGTCACCCTCTTTGACGCCCTCAGAGGAAGGTCGTGCATTCTAAGACACCGTGTGTATCGTTGATGACACGACACAAAGAACAGTATTCTGTAGTTTTTCGGTCGACATGAATTGGGTTGAGTCAAACCACTCGCAGCTTAGATTAAGTGGAACTGAATGAAATTGGTCTAAATTGGATTAAAGCGAGTTGAGTCGGTTTAGGCCGGACTCGTACGTACAAATCGACTCATTGTCAGATCGGGCTGAATCGAGACGGATCGTGTAGGAAAATTAAGATTCTCTATATTTAGATCGCGTCGCATGACAACATAAAAATTCCCAAGCGTATTCTTATACTCACCTTTCATTATCACAGTGCGAGAAGACATAATTCAATAAAGTGAACGGATTGAAAAGAAAATTACAAGTGAAACGTCGTTGCGTTAACGCAACGTTGCTGGTGTCTAATGGGTTAAGTGATTTATTTTTGACATTTTCAATCGTGATACAAACTATGCACGCGAGCAGCGCGGTAAAGATTGCACATGCTCGCGGCGGAGAATTTTCAGCGCGTGTTGGCGCGATCGCACGGAATAATTCATTATACGTCTGTATTATACGCTCGATGATGCGGAAAGCGGTGGAGTGGAGCGGTAGTTTTATTATCAAACGCGGTACGCTCAGATAAATGCTTTCGCGGACTCGATTCCGCCGAGGTATGGGACTAATGGGGCGGGTCGATGGGCCCGGTTACGGGAAAGCTATAAATTGACCATTTACAAATCGAGAGAGCTCGGACCACGGTGAATTTTTAGGATGCTATATAGCCTTTCCAAGAGTTTGTTTAACGAGCTAAAAAATGTGTGTAATCTAACAATTATAGTTAATGTATACGTATACATAAGTATGAAGTTCTCCAGATTTATTTCTGTTATTGAAATTCAGAAATTAAATTTCTACACTGCAATCATCAAAATGCAAATACGCTAGGTTACATTTTACTGGTTGTAATAATTTCCTGATTTTAAATCAATAAAGTATGACTAACGCAATCAGTCATATCTATTATTAAAACGGATCGCATGTGAGCTTTAAATTTATACCCAATTCAAAATCTGTTACAAACGGATTAATTTTAAAAGAAATATTGACCTCATGGACCAGATACACAGTACGTGAAACAGGTGCGCACTTTGCGAGTATAGCATATTTATGTCACGATGCATTTCTTGGCACAGCGCGGTGGAGAAAAACGAATCCGATCAGGCGGATCGTTAAGTCGTTGCATACGGTGTCAATCTGAAATAATTAATGGGTTTCACGGGCTCGACTGCCTAATCAAAATTATCGTTCGATCGATCCTTAATATCTGTCTAATCTATCGCGGCAAAGACGTGGCACTCCTTCTCTCGTCTTTCGTTTTTCGTTACACGCTAATAACCGACGGATGGTGAAGTGTACATTAGAAATTATTTCCTACGAAATATGTATAATTACGAATAATTGAATAATTTCTTTTGTATGTATTGAGACAGTGTAATTCACCAGGTATACATATACATGCATTCACCAGGTATACATATACATGCATTCACCAGGTATATATATGTGCATTATGTACTTGTCTCGATGTGGTTATTTCAATCTCTGCGAGCAAATCAAAATTTTTTTTTATATCTTAATATATTATAGATAATTTTTTCATTTGTTTCCTAATAGCGTCTATCTATCTATGTATAATTTATAATACCACCTTCCACTTGAAGATAAAATTTGTGTTTTTTCGCACAGTTAATTAGTTTTGTACTACGCATGAGATTTTGACAAAGCGTCTACGGGTTAGCACAGCACTGTACTGCTCCGAAATTACCGTCTACCTAGTTGGAAAAGAAAAATATCGTAAAACATAATTCTCGCGTAATTGGTGTTATAACGGCGGGAAAACGGAGAGGAATTATCTCGATGTTCGTTAAATACTGGGAACATGGGCGGAGAACGCGTATCGCATAAACGCGCGTGCATGCAAGCTACATTTTTACGTACGTAGCGAGTGAACACGCTCGCGCATCGGTTTCGTTTCGTGGGCACCAGCATCAACATCATTGTGTACGTCGTTACGCAGCGTACTCAACTATTACGAGCGCATATTTATTATATGCAACAGTGGGGGAAGGGGCTCAATTTTGTAGGAACGCGAACAGCCGGGGTTTATTTCGCTGTCAGGCCTGCGAGTAAACAGAAATATGACGCGATCCTGGCTGCTGTTAAAAAATTACTTCCGTCATAAAAAGGAGGTGCCGTTTCGCACAGCGTATTATTCGCGCCCAATGGGTATCGATGAAAATTAATTTTTCATTTTACATCCCAATTATTTCGAGCAAGAGCTGTAAAACTCGATATTAATCATTGAAGATTGAATTTCGTCGAGAGTGAGATACGTCTGGTTGTAAATGCTCACATGACGTGTTATGCACACGTCGTTTAGCCAGGAATGGAACTTCCTATTTGTTTTCTGGTAAATACTCTTCTAAAAAATATAAAATAAATTCTAATACCTATTTATTTGAGTAGTTAAGTAATATTACATTTATTAGAACTAGACAAATAAATATCAGAGATTTTGCATTATTTTTCTTTTCAGATTTTGCATTATTTCTATTTATCAGTTTTTAGAAATCATTTCCAGCGATTCAAAGTCAGTTTAAATGTATGGTTTTTTTATTTTTCTGTCTAGTATTAAATTGGAGTTGGAGAAACTTGCTCAAGAGAAGACAGAGATGCAACGCCACTACGTTATGGTGAGTTTCAAACACTTTTTAATAAAATATACATTCTTAGGTACAATTCCATATTAACAACAATTAAAAGACGAAAGGATTAACAAAATGTGACATGCTACTTTATTTTTCGTTACCGACCACTTTATATATTATTCACAAGATTTGTATTTCATATGGCGATAATATCGGTTCAATTGCTTGGGTCCGGTTAGTTGGTTGATGGAAATTATTTACATTGCGAGATAGTTTTCCAGTCACTTTGATCTTAACATAAATATGTTCTCCTGGATAACTCATAAGAAGTTTCAGCATCATCGTCGTTCATTATTCTTTAAAAAGTTATTCATTGTTATACATGAATTCAAATTATCCAACTAACCGAGCCCAAGCAACTGATAAGATATCAAGATCAAGACCTACAGAGTAGCCTCCCTTTCCGTAAATAGTTATCAAGCGTTCTCTAAAATTATAGTAGAGATGCATTATTCCGCATGTTATTTTTACTTGATAAAGGTATTAAAAACTCTCCTACAATTAAAACTCGATTAATCCAATCAATTCGTAAATCTCATCAGTTCGAGAAATCGAGAAACACATCGTATGCAAGCTGATTGTAATAAACCTGCATAGCATGACCCCGCGAGAAGTCATCAGCCATGCAACCGACGCAACGCGTCGAGCTGCTCCTCGCGTATTTCCTTGCCGTCTCCTTTTCAGTCAACCCGTATGTACGCAGGTGCGTACATGCTTACGTAGACATGACCGGCAGCCATACTGTCGCGACGCAACGGCTTACTTTCATCCGTAGGTCTTCATTATTGTGCTGCAACATCACCGGTACTGTATGCGTCTTCATTAGCGGTAGACACGCGGAGAAGGGTCGTAGGTCGCCTTTGAATTCACGCCGCCGATTGTTCTTCAGATCGGACGATCTTATTGTTAGCCTTGGTGAACGTTAACGCGGAGTCTCTAGGGAGTTGTGGATTAGTTAGTTATTTTGCATAAACGTGGCTATTGCACATACGTATGCGTAATGAGCGAAAAAATAGATATCTCTCTTTTTAATCTATCTTTCTTATCAAAATTCAACGAAATTGAATTACTGTTATTTACAAAATTTAAGTAATTTTTAAACAAAAAGGGTTTAGGATTTTTTTATTATCAATGCACTCGCACTATCGGTGCAAAGACTCCGTTTTATGCGAACCACGTAGAAGACTGACGACGTAACTAAATGTACTAAAGACACAATCTAATAAATGTCACATTTTACGTATGCACGGTTGGTCATGTGGTCGCTTCCACTTTCGTGCGGAGATCACTGTATTAGAACATCAGAGAAAGGTTTAAGAATAAGGACGAATAGATTAAGTAGAAGCACGTTTGTGTCAATGAATTCTTTCGTTGCGGTTATCATGGACACGCGCGCTAATTTATGATACTTCACGGTCCCTTCTGATGCAAATTAACCCGATATAAAATGCCGCATGATTCGTGTAAACGTGACACTTCCGCCGATTCACGCAGTTCAAAGATTAATCACGTCTCCGGCAGACTTACAAAATAGATTTTTCAGAAAATATATGGATAGTAGGTACAAAATTATTATGTGTTTTTGGCAAAACATTTGTTTGCTGTTTAAGGATGTATTGGCTATACAGTCAATCCCAAAAGTTTATGCACTTTAGAAACGCATTTTTTAAAAAGAAATCAGACGTCGGATGAACATTGCTAATAATAAACAACAAAAAAAAAATTTTCGATTTTTCCGAGATTTTTCCAAGGGGTACCCCTTCAATTTCTTCCAAATTTT